AATAAAAGGAAGTAAGAGAACCAGAAGAGACTGATGCAATGGGACAGGCTGCAGCTGATGAAAATCAGCACTGGCTTATTGACTTCAGAAGAGCAAAGGCATTTTACAGTGTCTGGTGACTGCATCCAATTTGCAAAGATAAAAGGCAACGGACCCAGGCAACTCAACAAGTTAGAAATTGATAAAGAAGCAGGAAGTTAAATTTGCTAGAGAATAGAACATTAATAGCAGAATGGCTTAGTAAACTTGAGTAGGAGAGTCAACACTGATTGACATTAAGAACACTGATTGACATTAAGAGACTGTCCAATTTTTAAGAGAAATGGAGAAGACCTAGTTAGATGAGTTCTGCCATCTCCCCCAGTAATACTTGGTAGGGTCCCAGTTTAGTAGTGTTCTCTCAAAGACAGACTGACAGATCGCCTAATATTAATCAGCATTAGGGTAACTTTGTCAAATCTTTAGCCCTCTTTTCCTTCGTCTAACACCTACATTGCATTGCCATGAGTGACGGCTGAACGCAACAGACAGATGTGCTGCCTTCCCGAGTCACTCAGCATTTTCAGTTACTGCCACATTGTCATACCACATAAAAACAGAGACAAGCTGTCGAGACATCTTAGAAACAGTTGCGCTCAGCCCTAATCTCCAAAGCACTTTGCATATGACCTCTCTCCAAGAGAAAACCACAGAAGTACTCCCAGCTCCAGCTAATCAGATAAGAACTTCCTTATTTAACTCCAACATTAAGAATTAATCTCCAAAGAGACTACTATATTTAGCTAAGAATCTCCTGAAGGCTACTTGGGTTTTTTTTAGGTAATGGAAAAAAGCCCAGTCCAGCACAAACATGTGAGAGGGCTCTCCGCAAATATGAGCATTTACTTATGTCACCCACCGACAGGAACACATTTCTCCAAAGAAATCTACAGATACATGACAGCACATGCAAAACTACCCTTTGCTTCTTCCTATTCCTACACAAGGCAAAACACAAAACTCCTTCTCACTGTTCTGTATTTAAAGGATATTTTTCTTCAGAGTTCCCATTCTTTCTGCTCTCCTCTCTAATAAAAGACAGTGGCTGGCTGGAAACCTAAAGTCCTTCCAGAGTTCCCACAGTTCTTTTGAAGGCCAAGAGAATTGAGCTTGTCATTGAACAACCTTCACAAATCACTCCTGTTTTGTGGCAGATGCCACGGCCTGAGGGATTCTAGTAGGGATTGTCATTTATTTCCATTCCCCGTACATCACTGAGCACACTGACAGTGCTTCAGAACATGAATACAAAGCTGCCTCGAGCTGCTGAAATCCTTGGACTTGTGTGCAGTGTTTTTTTAATATATATATAAAAATATACATAAATATATATATAAACATATGTATATATACATAAATAGATATATTTATATATATATATGCACTGCTACCAGAAGAATCTCAAAATTCGGACTCAGAATTAACAATGCAGCCAGGTTGGCTGCCCTCCACAGAACACGGAATTTTTCCCAAAGTAGATCAGACCAGGTTGAATTCTTGTTCGTTTGCTTGCTTTAAGGAGGAAAAAGTGCAATGTTCGTCTTAAAAACATCGTTGTCAAAGACATCTTTGGATAAGCTGTCCTAATATTCATTTTATCCCGCTGCTAGGAAATAGTATCAGAGTTCAGGACTGAATTTGTGTAACTTCAGCTTCTAGGCCCAAGACTTTCATGAAATTCCTGTTACTATCGTATTTGTACTCAGTGCAGCTCAATAGCGATATTTTAAACATTCTTAGAAGTACACATTTGTCATATCCTTAGCTGCACAACTTCAAGTGGAAGGCAACATCTCCTCATTTAACACGCAATGCCTAGCACAACAGAGAAATAACATTTGCAAAATACATCACAATAATATTTCCAAAGAGTAATTTCCCATCCTTTCAACTTTATTTGCATACAGCAAAACCTAGTTCAGTTTTTGAGCTTGTTCTGAACAGCATACACCTCTTGTTACAATAAGATTTTTTTCTTCTTCATTCAGTTCATCTTAGTTAATAAGGGGGAATCTGAAATACCTAAAATCCTACTGATCAGTGCAGTTATATGGAAATAGATTCTTTACTATTCAAGAAAATAACAATTAAAGCTGTAAAAGGTAGTATGCTGAGTGATACTTTCAGCATAATCACTAATCCTAACTCCAAGCCCAACTGATGAATAAGCATTTACATTGCTAAAAAGGAGAGACCAGCTTGCTTTACTACAAAATAGCCTTTGAACAAAAACTGCCAGTTCATATGCTCAATCTCTATTTAGAATTGGTGTCTAAATTACCTGAATTAAGTTAAAATTACAGATGGAATATTTCAGTGAAGTAAGAGCTGTATGCTAGAGGGACAGAAACATTCAGTTTAACAGAGTAAAGATGAATTCATTTTCCCAGGAAACAATCAAGCCCACCTAAGGTGCCTAAGTAACTCTGTTAAAGTTACAATTTGGCTACTGTATTTCACAACTAATCTGTGAGTTCTTCCCAATACCATGAAAAGCCTCTCCTGTTACCACAAGGGGTTTTAGCCTAGGCTTTGGCACTCCTGGCATATTTTGCAAGGAAGGTGAATTAAAAGATTTCTGTAGCGGACAGACAGACATGAGCTTGCATTTTACAAAACTGTGCTTGGTGTCATTAACCTACAAACATCTCTTCCTTGAAAAGAAAAAGGGTGGGGGAGCCTACCAGCTAATACAGCTGGTAAATAACTTTTCACTGAAACACACTAAGCAACATCTTTGCTCCCTGAAAGACCTGGGCAGAGTTTAAAACTATCAGTAGGGAAATTAATACCTCTTAATACCAACCAGGAACTTTGACTTAGAGCTCATACTGAGGCTGCAAAAGGAACAAGACCAAAGGAGTATGCAGGCTAGGAGGAGGAGCAGTGCCTTACAGGAGTCGGGTTATGCAGACGCCAGCCTACGCCACAGTAAAATGGTGTTTCCTGGGGTCCAAGTGTTATCTACAGATAACATTTGGAAGTGTTACATTTTCATTTCTGTTACTTACCAATAAGGAGTAAAGAGTAACGGCAAAAATCTTACTAACATAAAGAAAACCAGACAGGTTCAAAAGTGAGTTTTTATTCATATTTGATACTAATTCACAACCCAAAGTAAGATTAAATTGATAAAATGGCCTAGAATACTGTTAGTTTACATCACTAAATCAATTCACAATTTTATTGATAAAATACTAAAAGGAAAATGACAGCAATCCAGGTTCAGAAAAACAGATTGGCTACTATGACTGAAAAATCTACATTACCTTAACTGGTCAAAACTGATCACTTGTTTTATGTTTCTTATTTAAAATGAATGCAGATTACAAAATTCCAGATACACTCAGCTTCTGTGTTCATAAAATATATCTTCTATCATATCAAATTTCAGTAGAATGGAAAGAATTTTCTGCTGAGATATTTCATTTCACCATGTATCAAAAGAATACTGAGGGTACTCTCCCTACCTATATACCGACGTAACGCTGCAGTCTGAGTTGCGCTTTTATTTGACTCACCCAACTAAACCTTCTGGAAGCCAGTGTGTAAGTCTATCCTTATGACCAAAGCAAACCATCTCTCATATATTAATGAAAGCCATCATCAAGCTATAGCCTAAATTCCATCCTTTGCTGTGGATGCACAAATCTCAGACTCCAGTGCACAAAATAAAGCAGAATTTAGCTCTGTATTTTAAGGCAAAGACTAAAACAGATCCAGCTGAAAAGGAGATGAGTACCTTTAGCTGCCACTCATTAACGAGAGCTGCAGTTGCTCACCATTATGCAGAGTTTGGTTGCACTTCATAAGATAAATCTTTAACACAAATACTGAGGCAAGCATTTTGCCACACTACCATAAAAACAACTGTCATAGATTGAAATAACATATGCAGATTAAACAGCAATAAAGTAGCCAATAGTTTGCATGCAAATATTGCATTAGACTGGTTATATTCTGGGGACTAAAACTGTTTACTGCGTAAACACACGTTAGATAAAGATCTTCCATTCCTTTTTTTTTTATTTAATACATTTTAAAAAACAGATAGGTCTTACAGAACAAAGGAGCTTTACGAAATGTTAGACCTGGAATTACATAGACTTCTGTTAAAAAGATTAAAACTGCAATGTGGTAAGGAAAGAACTCTTCCCCCTCTTATGAATACATTTTAAAAAGCCTCATTAGGCAAAGCAGCAGTCTGACTCACAGTCAAGAAGAAAAAAAGAACATTCTAATACTGCACTGCAAAAAAAGTTATGAGTTACTTTAAAGAAAACAGAGACAGCAAAAGCAGACTGTATGGCAGCAACTTTTGCTAGAGAAAGAGAAAAAAGTGTGTGTATACATACATATCACACACACACACACACGTATATCTATATATATATGGCACAGTACCTAAACAGTCATTAAACTGTTTTAATTGCCAATGTTACATAAATGGGAGGTACTGGGAGAGAAAAATGTTCAAAGTAACAGTAATTTGAGTAAGTGTGCTACAGGAAACTAAAAATGAACTTTCATGACTATATATATATATATATGTATATATATACACAAATCAATCAAAAACTTATTCACAAACATTTATACCTACTGGAATAAGAATCAAGTTTAATACTTGTGAAATGTATCTGACTGCTAGAACTGTACTGTCGTGGTTTCATTCTTTAGTAGTAGCAGAGTAACTTGTCTACACTGCTGTGATGGTATGGCTTCAATCAGGTCTACCATGAAGTCTTTGAATCTAGCTGACCCCTATCGTAAAACTGAAAAGCTGTACAGGGATTTTAACTTTCATTTGTAATATGGACATGCATTTACTACCTACCTGAGACTTCCCAGCATTCTACCCAATAAGCAGTCAGCAACCTAGAGCTATTACTACTACAAACTTTTCCAATTTGCTCAAAAAATTAACTACAGGGATCATGTGGATTTGGTCCTCAAAGCATACTTTTTATTATCTCTACATTTTTAAGGAAAAAAGAACAGTTAAATTCTACAAACTCAAACCTGTTTCCTAAGCTAAGCTAAAAAGCCAAGCCTAGATGTGACTAAAAATAGACTAAATAGATATTTAGTTGCTATCTACTGTATTTTAAGGTGGGCATAATTAGTATCTGAAAAAATAAAGCTAAAAATCATATATTTATGTATCTCAAGACTACACCCAATCATACAGTTAAATCTCCTCAAAGACCAACAACCAGACCACTTCACAAGTAACCTAAGTTGTTTGCAAAATTAAAAGAATAAGATGCAAAGTCAAAAAAATATATACCGTACACCTTATAGATCAGGAAAATAAAATAAAATGCTGGTTTCTGTAACAGTGCAACAACTGCAGCATATTTTGCATGCAGCACATGATTTGCTACATTTAGTGGCACTTAAGTATACTTATGTGGTAAATACTGAAAGTAAGACAAGTTTCAGATCTGCAGAAGCACAACCACATCATTATTACCAGAGTTGCTAAGCTACAGCATTCTGAATAACACCAATTCAATTTTAGCGCTTCAATCACTAGCCTTAATGCACACCAACATCCTGCTTTACATCTTGCTAAGAAAGCGATCACTGAAGCCACGTGCTTCCATGAACTTGCCACTGTGCTTAAACTAGGCTTCAATCTGACCAGTCATTTTCATCAAATTCTGAGTCATCATCAGAATCACTGTATTCCACAGCAATGCGTCTTGAAAGGATGGTTGCCACATCATTTCCAACAGGTTCTCGCTTTGCTTCTTGCTCGCGTTGCTCCTGCACCTTCTTCAGTTGAATTCCTGTAGAGACAGTTATTGTCAGACAAAGTTCTCTGTACAAAAAAATTTTCGTTCCACATTGTTGTGAGTTTTATAGTCTAATAACATATCCAGGAAGAAAAAAAGAAACCATTAAGTTAGCCTTCCTGAGCAACGAAGAGCG